AGCTCAACATAACAGCATGGCTTTACTTCTTATATTTCATTTTTATACTTCTCTGCTGGATGGTTAAGACCAAGTTGCACAGGTCTTTGAAAGTCACTCGTTAATGTAAAGCCCTACCTATACCCTTTGACGAAGGTTTACATACAGCAGAGCATTCCAAAGCCTGCAAAAATAAACATAGCAGCAGCTGACCATTCTGGGTCTATTCACCAACCAAAATCTCCCAGTAAAGATAAAACTTTATTTTCTTTTTGGTGAGGATACAACTGTTAATTGATCGACTAATGTTAGCATATTATTCTTAAACCCTTTCTTGAGCAATCTTCAAGTAAAAATGCGAATGGATGCTATAAGCGTAGCTTTTTGGTAACTTGTTCTGCTATTTTGTTTGACTCTTAGGTCTACCCTGCAGTAAATGATTGCTTTGTTTTGTTATGTGACCATTTTCAGGCTCCTTTGTTACACACCCCACATAACTACACGTAACTAATCTCATCTAAATGGAGTTGAGCTTTTGCAGCTTAGAGACTGTCAGAGCACCTACCTAGCACACTCTTGGATTTGGCTTGGATGTGATGTTTAGGTGTTTTATGACTGACACCATCTCCTGGTGACATGTTCTGCACATGTGCATTTCCTGGTCTTTGTGGAGTTTCTATAAAAGCTTGGTGTCACATGCTAATTTTTTTTTCTGAGTAAGAGTGTTGATATATAGTCCAGGCAGCCCTTGATCTCATGATCTTCCTGCCTTAGCCTCCCCAATGCCCAGTACTAAAAATTATTTCTTGATATAGATAAAAGCAAGCAAATTTTTCTAAAAGTTATTAGGCTAGAATTAAGGCTTTAGAACGAAAATAAATTTTGCAGTTTCACATAAAATTGTTTTTTCTCTTTTCCCAAAAAGTGCTTCAGATGTAAAATGGCAAAGTAAAAATTGAGTATAATTATCATCTAACTGGAAAGAGTGAATCAATTCACAATGCTAGGGGGCCGCGGAGATGGCTCAGTAGAATAAGCACTTCCCTGGCAAGCACAAGGGCCTGAGTTCCATCCTGGTTCCAGAAAAAAAAAAAAAAAAAAAAAAAAATTCACACTGCTAGGCTTTCTGGGTTGGACACGACACACATTCCACATGTCTGTGCAAACCTTTTATTAAAGCAACAATCAAAATACATGATGAATCACATGGTTTTTTTGCTACAGTAATGTCAACTTATATATTAGTCATTTGTTTATATTTAAAATTATTGTTAGAAAGTGAACATCTTTATAGGTCACAAAATCAGCAAATTGACATTTTGGCCCAGATAGATTTTCATTTTATTTTGCAATTTAACAAAGGAGATTCAGAACTACTGAAATATGGTAGACCAAACATAAATACACATATCTTTGATCCCAATTCACTGTTAGTGGGTCTATGATGTCAGAAAGATAGACAAAGAGACTTTTATGACTGGTTAAATAATAATTTATGCAGGATATTATTAGAACTACTTATTTTCTATTTTTACATTCTCTAGCTTTGATTTTGATTGTAGTATTTTTAGTATTATCCCCTTTATAAATTCCATCTCTAAAAAAAATCTCATAAGGAGTATCATCATCTTTACATAATATTTTCCTGTGTAACAGATAAAAACACACAGTCCTTTGGAAAATATAATAAGCCATTTTGTTCTATTTGATTATTTTCTCCACAATTGATTTGTGTAATCCAAACCTGTTAACCACTGAAGAAACCATACAAAAGTCATTAGGAAAGTGAACTTTGTTATCTACTGAAGGGTATTTTAATGAACAGCTCCAGGTAGAACTGACCAATATCTTGAAGATTATAGATACTCAAAATATATGTGTGAATACGTACCGAGGTTTGGTGGATAAAGAATGCCAGTAAGCAAGAATGGAAACAGAAATTACATTGAAAACTGCCCCAAAACTGTGGGAAGATGGCTAAAGGAAAACATCTGAATTGTGCGGAGCAAATGAAGTACGTGAAATATAAATGAACGCTTCATTTCTTACCAGGTGAAAACACTCGAGGGAAACTCCCAGTTTACAGAAGCATAGCTGTCACTGTGCTACGAGTTCTAAAACTGACACGACATGTACTCCAACGACATAATGAAAGGTAACTGATTAGCCTTTCTGAAATACTTCCAGTGGCCAGAGCCGGTGTTTCCAAAGTCAAGCTGATCTGTGTTGGCTGCACCTTGTGTGAAGTGTGTTGCTTGCAAAACATACAAATACTCCGTGTGCCTTACATTTGCATGTGCTGCAGGGCTGCACAGACCCTAGGTTAACAGTGAATAACAACCCAGGCAGTAGATTTAAAACATGTCATCAGTCCATTACAATGATTTACAGAGCCACAGTTAAATCCACTGTCTTCCCATCAAGTCGCTTTCTTGTTATTTCACATTTTTCCTTTCAAAAGGAAGTTAGGCAGCCTGGACTTGTACAATTAAAAGTGAAACACAATGATAAAAAAAAGGGAAGTGGATTCTTGAATCTACTGTGAGGGACATCAGACTTTTTAGCCTTCATGGTGACAAAGAAATGCTCATAAACATCCAAGATATTCTGGATGTAGTGACATGGCACAATCATGCTTAGGGTGGCTGAGAACATTCAGATTTTAGAGCAGTTTCTATACGTCATATATCACATATATTACATTTGGTTCCTAGAGATTTTAGTCAAGTATTAGTATTTCTTTTCATCCAGTATGATGTACAAAAAGATGAGAATAGCAGATGTGTCCTAAAGATATGAAAATATAATTTCTAAAACAAAATCATTATAAATTACATAGATTTTCCATATAAAATTGTTTTGTCCCATTTTTAGAATAAATACCATCCAAGATTATAGATAATCTAGTGATTTAAATATTCACAATGTGTGGAATCATTTTAGTAATTTCAAGAAAAAAATTGCTGGAGATATGACTAGGATCACTCAGGAAGCAGAAATTATTTGATTTCAAGAATGACTACAGAAGCCCCCAAGGACATGGCTTAGGAATTAGCACTGAACTTCTAAAAACTGCCCAAATGAGCTCAATATGCATGATTGCGTGCACACACACACAGCCACAGTCCTACGAATTTCTAAAAAGCTAAATAGTTTACTTTATTTTTGAAAAACTGCCTGAAAATCATGAGGTCTTCTACATTTCACATTCTAGCAGGAGGGGCTCCCTCACTTTATAAAGAAGCTATACTACAGATAGCAAGAATTTCTAGAAGGATAAATTCCCAGTACAAGCCAAGCTTCCTTTATAGGTTGGGTATTGTTATATCAAGAGCATTCTGATGCCCTAAAGAGGGACAGAGTTTTAAAAGTCTACATGGCCACCACCTATAGAAGCAAAGCCAGCCTGGAAACATTCTTTGGTCACATATTTTAGCTCTTGCTTTATGTAAAATCCACTTAATTTTAGTTTATTATCGCTAGTCAATCTCTATATGGAATGGATGTCGTCTATAGATTCCATGTGAAAATCTGCACATGGGCTTGGATGGGAAGAGAACTGAATAGACTACAATATTACAAAACAAGCTTTGTAAGTCCCTGCTGTTGCTTTGGGCATACAAATCAAAGATATAAATTTGTTAACTTCTATAATAACCAGAATGTTTTTTATATTCTAAGAACTGGAAATAGAAGCTTTTGCAGCCTAAATATATAAAATCCTAGTCCAGAGAATCCAGCCAGAAGTTATAGCTTTTCTCATGGATGTTCACTACTAATTTCTGTAGGTGCCTTTCCTAGATAATTCTAACAGGAAACCAACAATTAATTCCTTTTAAAAGGGTATCTGGTCAAAGTCCATGTCTTGTCATACTTATCTATAAGTAAGTCTATCAAGGTCACTTCTAAAGCCCATCCCACCGCCCCCAGTCACAGAGCTATATACATTTGCTGTAACGTTGGATCACGCATGCATCCAGTAACATGTACCCATTTTTTTTGGTCCTGGATTTTGCTTGTCCTGCTTAATAGGGGCTATCACAGACTGCAAACTTTCCATAAAACTATAAATGCTTGAGCCTGAAAAGCTCTTATGGGTCACCGAGTACTGCCTGATTATTTTACAGATGAAAGAGATTAAACCCCAGTTGGAAGCTGTGCAAGGTCACTTTCCCAGATGGTGACCAGAGGGGGAGTTAAACCATCTGGGTCCAGACTCTCATTACCAGTGTGGGTTGTGTAACCTCTGACTTGACCACCATCAGGCTTACGCTACTCGATGTGGTTACAACCCGGATAACTACTTTAAGGTTGTCTTTCCCTTGCTTGTAAGTGAAAATGACACACTGTCACTTAGTTGTAGAGGTGGTCCTAATCATGTTTTGGAAAGAGGAGAAGTTCCACAATTTATTTAAAATGCTATGATTTTTTTCAACTGGCCCTTTTTGAGCAAGTCGTGCAGCTACAAATGTTTGGGGAACTGACAGATGAAAGCAAAAACCTGTAAACTAATTGTTGAAAAGAGCAAAGATGTTAATATTGGCTTGGTTCTCTGAGAAAGCTGGCATTCAGTACTCATCTAGTCTGCCCCCCTCTCAGACAGAGAAACTGAGTGGCAGACCTGCCCAAAGCCAGGCGGCTGGTGACCGGCACAGGCAGGTAAGTATTAAACCTCTGGGTGACTAGTTTTAGTTTTGTTTCCTTTCCACAATACCAAACCGCCTTGCTTATACTGCATTTTTGGGAACTAAATAATTCAATAATTTTGACATAAAACTTGATAGCACAGTTTCTATTGCCACTACTCTAACCTTCACTCTCCCTTTTGAAAGCTAACAAGTCAGCTATGTGGTTTACAAAACTGTCCTGTGTATGCACTTCAGACTTTCCACTAGCTGTCTTGTATCAGGTGTGCAGGTGACTGTCAGCAGTTCCGAACTGCTTCTGGGAAACCAATATTCTACAACCTCTAGGAATTCATCAAATGCCTATTTAGAAGCAATACATTTTCTAGGTAAAGAGTCAGTTTTGTGTGGGTAGAGAATGATGTTATTTAAATGTAAACAGCAGTTTTCTTGAAGAGTGTGGGTACATTTAACCTTTTATAATCTCCTTCCACACCTTGATTGAGCTCACTGAAAGGTTCTCAGAATTGGGCAGGTAAACACATTTTTATTTGACTATTAAAGTGCTATTCTAGGGCAAATCAGTTTCATAACAGCAGCTTCACTGAAAATTTAAAAATCAATGTATGAAAACAGGCCTGGGAAATAAAAAAGAATAATAAGTATTATTATTAACTACTTTGGAGCATCACAAATGACTTGTAGATATCAGTCCTGGAACTGGCAACTGATACCAAAGCCTCTGAGGTAAACATTCTAGGGAAAAATAAGGACAAAAGTGGCAAAGAGGACTCAACCAGGAAGAGTAAATTAATATTAGTAACTACTCCAGTAGAAAGGAACAGTGGAAGTAATTAAAACTAAGAAGAAAGTGCAACAAACCCATATACGTGCATATGCTATTATAGCAGACCTATACTTTTTAAAAAGAAAAGCAATACAGTATGCATTGGACAGGGCTCTTGAGCTCAGAATATCTTACAGTAGCGTACTCTTTGCCAAATGGCATCACCAATGAATAAGGGATTTGGCAGATAATGACCTCTACAATTCATCTCACAAGGATAGATACTTTCTGTCCAGTACCAATTCTGCACCCTGATGTTTCTTGTATCCTTTCCTACTGGGGCGATGCCAGTCACATACACTGCACGCAGGTGTTTCTTCAGACGGCATCACTCCTACCTAAGGGGTGAGAGTCTCCCGGTAAGGCTTAGCGGCAAGTGCGTACTACATCTGTATTACAAAGAGCAGCCCCTGGTTTTCTTGATATGCATAGCTTTTCGGAGTGAATGTTAGACATGGCTTTCATAAATAATGCAGGTGTTTTTGTTGCACGTGACTGCTGGCTCTGTCATTTCCAAGGGAGCTGGTGGCAGTCCTCGATCTGATGCCTCTACAGGTGACGGCTCCTCAGAGGTTAGCTCTGTGGACGTTATATCTGTAGAAGGCTCTGCAGTTTCCGGAGACTGTCCCGCTGATGGTTCCGTCTCCTCTTCATCTTTAACCTCGAACTGTACACCCTCTTGGTCATCCACATGATCCTTTTTGCACTGGGGGTGAACAGACACCTTGATGGCAATCTGCTGAGGCTGTTCATGCAGTGATGAGGCATCTGAGTCAGCAGTGGGAGAATCACTTCGCTTCAGGGAGTTGGGGATTGTGTACACCTCATCTCTGTCTGCAGCCTCCTGGCCTTCTGGGGTATGCCTTACAAAATTCTGCCCCTGCTCCTCCAGCCCAACTACTTCCATGATTTCCTCCATGATAGTCCTGCAGTTCATGATGAGAGGAGGCAGAGGTACACTCCTAGCAAGCTCTTCAATATAGCGGGCAAATTCCATGGTTTTGAACTGGGTGACTTTGGCAAGCTCTAGAGTTTTGGCTGAGGTGATGATGGGGATCCGCTTGGCAATCTCGAAGGCCTTTTGCAGCTTCTCTGCCCCTTCTGTCCTAAAGAACTCATTGATGGCTTTCTCAGTCTTCTTCAGGTGGCTGCTCATCATGCACAAGCGGGTGATGTTGAGGACCATGACGATGGTGAAGGCCACGAGGCAGACAACCATGTAGTAGACGCCCATGTCTCCAGAGGTAAAGATGACTCTCAAGGTCACCGTGTTGTTCACAGTGCCATAGACATTAGAGGCTGCACATGTGTATTTACCTCGGTCTGAGAAGGACACCTTGGTGATGTTCAGGAGGCCGCCATCCAGCATTTGCCATTTTCCTGTCAGAAGAGAGAGAAGAAAATTCATGTAAGGATGCTCAAGGCCCGTTACTACATACAGACTTACACATTTCTAAAAGATCGATCGAGAACATGAACATTTAAGTCCTTATGATGTGCCCGTGACACATTAATCTCCACAGCTCTGTGAGGTCGCATTGACACTTGCTCCATGTTACAGGACAAAGAAAACTTGAGGCATGGCTAGGCAACCTTTCCAAAGTCATCTGTTTGGAAATGGTTAAACTAGAACATGAACAGGTGCTCAAGAAGCTGTATTCTCTTTGTGTTTGCAGAGCTGAGTGCTTGACCCAGGGCCTCCTGCAACAGGCCAGGCAAGTGCTCTGCCCTTGTGCTGTATTCCAAGTCACAAGGCTGCACTCGTCACCACCAAACTGCACTGTGCAACTTCACATACTAGTGGAAAATGGAGTAATGATCTAAAAAACGCTGCTCTTAGGAAAGAGCTCCTAGCTTGTAGACTCTTTCCAGCCTGCCTATGAGCTTGGCTCTCAGACTATAAAGTATTTTAGATTCAATGTAATATCTGAAGTAAACAAATTATAACTGTTTAACTGGTTTCTCATATTTGAGATTAGTATTATCCTTTCATGACCTCTGGTTAATTAATACATAATTTATGACTTTAGTTTTGAGACTACCATGAATTGTCCAAAGTCACAACCCAACAGCATGAAACCTAAGAGGCTGGATATGAATTGATATCAATTTATTTTAGTCTTGCAAATACATTAGGCCAATTGAGATGGAAATCAGCCTGACATGAAGAAGAATGCACTTTGAGGACTGTAATTCTCTCCACACTTCCCCATCCTGGGAATGAGGTTCCCAATCCAGTGCGACTCCAGATTACTACACGGCCTGTCTATCTGTAGCTCAGAAGACCTCTGTGGAACACAGTGTGAGGTCTGGTTTAGGGTCTTGGGTCCAAACCTCCATAAAATCCTACCTCCTAGACTGTCCCAGTGTGTGAAGACACTCATGGCCAGGCCTCCTGGGAGTTCTACAGAGCAGGCAGATCTATATTTCTTACTAAGAGCACTCTAATTCCCTGAGACAACCAGAGAAGCCTCTCCCAAGACCTGGGACAATTATACATGTAGTTTTAAAACAATTATTATTGCATTTTATTTTACTTGTTTCTTTTCCTTTTATGGCAGTCGCTTTTACCTCTAATCAATAGCCCCATGCTCCCCCAAATAGGCATGCTCTATAAGAAAAAGATCTCACAAGTACAGAGCTCGGCAGGGTCACAGTGCACATGGAATGAGGTGAGGGAGGGCCTGTTCTATTCAAAAGTCTTCTGTGTCAGAGGACCTTCTCAAGAAGGCTAGCTGAGCAGTGAGTACCTGCCAGGGGCCTACGGCTGCTCACATTTATAGGCTGAAGTGAATCAGGCAGAAGGCCTCTCTGCACATGCTGTCCTGACTGCCTTCTCAAGGAACATCTGTGCAGAACAGTTCCTTGTGTCCCTGAGTAACCCTCTTCAAAGAGTTCAACCAGCATGCTCTCTCCATGAGGAGAAAAAGCTGGTTGGAAAGGTTAATGACTTTTCAGTTTCTCCTGAATATGTATGAAGAGATAAACCTAGCGCCTGGCCTGTGATAGTCTCTCATGTCAGTGAGACACACGTAGGCTTCTAGTCATTTCATTCTGGCTGTGAATTTCTTCAGTCGTAGTTTTATATGAATATACAATGATCTGAGGCCAAGTAAACTGCATTATAAATTTATTTTCTTATAAGCTGCATGTTTTATAAAGAAGACTAGAGCAGACATAGGAGGAAAATACCTAGGCTGATGGGGCTTATTTATTACAGATGATATTAGATTCCATGGCTTTACTCTACACCATGACAGATACAGGTACAGATGCAGAGACTATGACCCTACAGCAGATGGGTTATTATCAACATGCTCATTAAATGACTGAAATCATAGTCCCCTGACAGCAATTTCCTGTTTTCATTCTTGGACAAAGGTATCAAAACATCTTTTACCAGATTCTTCTTTAAAAAATCATTTGTTTTATGGATTAACATAATATTAATACCACTTAGGATTCTGCTCATGTGTAATATGGTAAAGCAAATATGTGACTTGGATTAAACATTCTATGATGAGACAATCCCAAGATACTGGAAACCGAGATACCAACACACACGCACACACACCCCTGACCTTTTGATCTCAAAGGTTCTTTCTTCCTGCTGATATATTCATTCCCGTCAAAGAAAGAAATCACCAAAACTTCCTCTCTCTGCTTCCCCTTTGATTAGTGAAAAATAAATTTCTGTATCTTCTATCACAATATAGAGCTCTGAAAATTGGAAAGAGGCACAGATTTTGTTGGGGATCTTTGTCCGTCAGGGAGGGCTAGCCTAACACAGAATCTCCACGTGTGATCTGCCCAGTTGGGAACATCTTGAGTGTGTTCACCTCCATCAATAAATACTTTGCAATGAGACTCCTTCTAAAAGGGTCCTGACTTTGGCTGGTAATAAGACAGTGAAAGACACAAATACACCCATGACATCTGTCACAGGAGAGCTCCAGTGCTAAACACAGTATCCACAGTGCTGTTCCTGAGAAGTTTAAACTGCAATTGAATGGGAATGTTGAAGTGATGTACTGTAGTTTCATGAAGCTACATCGCTTTAGTACAAATAAAACCCAAAGTGTTAGCAGCTAATGCCAACTCAGTTCTCCACACCGTGATCTGCAGGACAATAAGAGGTAGACTTTTTGGATGTAACGCTAACACCTGTGTCAGGAATTTCCCTCACATTTCATTCTACCTCCCTTGTTCACTCCATGCCTGGCTCAGATTGTACCACCCGCTGGACTTCCCCTTCCTCCATACCCTCTTTCCAGTGCCGTCCTGGAAGATGACACACATGCCTGAGGCTTTAGACTAGAATACTGACATGCATTATTGCAAAACTGGAGAGCACAGTCTTCCCCCAGAAGTCCAGGTATGTGAGTCACGTGTGGAAGTCTCTTACATGTGAGAGCACTGACGACTGCTCCTTTGCAAAGAGAAAAGTGAACAGATGTTGTTTTTGAGCTCTACTGCAGTGCATGTACTATGCTGCACAACAAAGCTGACATTTTTAGAAGGGCAATGATCTTTTTTATCTTGCTCACTCATTTGGGCCAACAAATATCATTGAGCACTTTGTCTATGTACCAGGAGCCATGCTAGATGATGAAAATATGGAAATAAGCAACATACAATTCCTGACTGCAAAAATCACGCAGCCCCAATGGGGAAACAGACTCCAACAGACAGCTCCAGTACTGTGGCAAGTTCAATGGCAAGTGGGAGGCATGGAAGAGGGGAAGGGTTTCCTAGCAGAGGGCCACCCTAGGCCAGGCTGGGGGTGTGGTTACAGGAAGGAAGAGAAATGGGAGTGAAACACAGGACTTGTAAGGCCAGAGGGGGATGGTGGAAGGAAAGGACAGGGAGGGAGAAGGGAGACAGGCAGATCCACCCTGTGCTGCTGGAGCTGACAAATCATGCAAAAACAAAAAAAAAACAAAAAACAAACAAACAAACAAAAAAACAAAACCAAAGCAGAGCTGCTGTTAATCAGGCAGGAGAAGAACACAGAGTCAGAGCTGGCCTACCGGACACTCAAGACACGCAAGCGTTTTCTATTTCTCCTGCAGGAGTTGCACCTTTTTGCACATGACTTTACCAGACAGCTGCCTTAGCCCAGGGCTCAGGAGATGAAGGCCCTCTGACTGCCTTCCTTGGCCTGGAAGACTTTCACTCCTCTCCATGCCAGGTGCCCCTCCTGACACATCCTTATGCCAGTTCAGCCCTACCCTGCATCTCACCGCATACCCTGACAAAGTCTCCCACGACCCCTGATCACATCAGTAAAGAGGACCTGGAAGTTTGGAAGCCAAAGCAGCTCAGCATGTGAGAATTTTAAAAATGAAGAAGCTGGCATTTCAAATCAGTGAGAAGAAACGACTAAAACAAATGACTGGTCACTTGAAAAAAAATAAAAATAAAGGGAGATTCCTACTTGATGCAATATATGCAAATATATTCCGAGTACTCAAGATACAAACAGAAAAGCTTAAGATTATTAATAGAGAATAAAAGATCTTTTTATAATCTTGGGATAGGGAAGATTTTTTTAAAAGCATTTTTAAGAATCTCAGAAGCTGTAAAGGAAAATGTTAATGGATCACATTTCTCCCCAGATTAAAAGTTTCTGCATATAAAATGCCCTATTAAGGAAAAATCGAAAGAAAATGATAGGGAAAAATTATAGAATATTTAACACACATGACCAGAAAGTATAAAGAATTCCCACGAATTAAGCAGGTCAAGGCAAAAATGCAAGAGAAAAAGCAGGAAAAGGACTATGAATCAGTGACTGCAACAGTGAATGCAAAAGGCATCAGAGTATACAAAATCACTAGCGATTAAACAAATTATAACCTTAAAGGGACCAGAGTCATGTTCTAAAGCATACTTTCTACCTTTTAGGTTGCCAAAATAAAAGGGAGAAGGACATCGAGTACACATTCTGCTTCTAAGAATGTGGAAAAGGACATTCCTACGAGATATAGGTCAGAGTTTATTTGGTCAAATTCTTTGAAGCTATTTTAAAGGCATCCATCAAAATTTAAAATGAATGTAATATATGACCCACTTTTGGAGTTTTTTGAAATTCACAAAATCAGAAAAGCCTAGACTGGTGGAGAAATATTAATGAATGCAACGAAATCAAAGTAGTGGGAAAAAAAATCTTTTTAGAATAGTATTTCTCCCTAGGGACACTGTTTCAGTTTTCCTCTCCTTTTGGCTGTCTCTGGGAGAAGCCATAACTTTGTCTCATTCTAGGAAGGTGACTAACCTGGGACCACTGTCCTCAGCAGGGTGGCCTGTACATGTTGAGGCACAAGGTCACACCAATCTATAGACCACATCAAGTAGATCTACCAGCAGGGGTATCAGCA